AACAGAGAGTTAAATTATAGGTTTTTCTAAGGAAAAAGTACATTGGGGCATGAAATTGAGAATCAAGGTGCATTAGCACTGTGATGGGAAGATTTACAAACACAGTCAGCAGGTAGACAACATGAAATACCACACACAGCACGATCTGGGTCTGCTGATCTGAAGATCTTGGTCTTCTGTGCCTATTGATGTTTATTCCTGTCTACACCTCAGCATAAATGCAGCAATTAAACATTGATAATTGAGCACCCAATCCTGAAAGTGATGGTCTCCTTGGAAGTGCAAATGAATTTGCTTAAAAAAAATTCTTGTAAACATTTAAGACACTTGAATGTCTAAAATTTTCATTCTTATGTTCCTGAAGCTATCTTAGATTTTGTATGGATTTGAAAAAATATGGAGTTCTCCTGGATGGTTTTTCCTCCCATTTTTCTAGTTTACTTTTCAATCAGCGGACTTTCATTTTCATTTCATCAAGAAGCAGAACCAATACTTAACTTCTCTTCTATGTTTCCAGGGGATTCTTTATCATTTTTCCAAGCAGGAAGAAAATTTTAAGAGACCATTTTAGATTATACTACAGCCACAATCCTGGTCCTTTCCTAAATTCTTCACTGGATCAGAGAATCAAGACTTGAAGCAGTGCTCAAGAGTAAGGCGTGATGAAACCCCATGATCATAGAGCCAAGATAGTTGAGATGAGGACAAACTTAGGCAGCACCACCCACTGTGGAAATAGGGCCGCTTTACGGAGACCAAATGCAGCCCTAATAGCTGCCTGCATAAAGTGACTTATCTGGCATAACATTGTTCAAGCTCATTCATGCTACAGATTATCAGTAGGAAATCAGTCTCTGGTCCAATGCTGTGAAACCAGGCAGGAAACATCATTCAAAGTATTTACATTGCTGTATATCAGGAACAAGTGAGGAATAGTATGGCTCGATCCAAGCTAATAAGGAAGGAGATTAGAAGGAGTGGGGGAAGGTAGCAGGGTCATGGGAAAATGCCTGATATCCCTGAGAAGGATTGAGGGACTAGTCCTAGAACTTCCCATTAAAACAAAGATGTCAGAACAGACATGAAGGGAAAATTTTACCTGAAGATAGTTGAAGGTGTGTATGAGTGTCAAGTTGACAAGGGATGGACTGTGATGGTCAGTTTTGTGGGTGTGTTTGTTTTTTTAAATCTTTATTGTTGAAAGTATTATATATGTTCCCCTTTTCCCCCCATTGACCCCCTCCAGCCCAGCCCTATGCCCCCCACCCCGGCCTAGGCCTTCACCACCCTATTGTCTGTGTCTATGGGTTATGCATATATGCAAACAAGTTCCTTTGTTGGTTACCTTCCACCCACCCTCCCCCCACCTTTCCTCCGAGATTCCGCACTCTGTTCCATGATTCCATGTCTCTGGATCTACTCCATTCCATGCTGGTCAGTTTTGTGTGTCAACTTGACTAGGCTTTAGCCTTAGTTTTTCAATGAAACACTAATTTAGGTGTTGCTGTGAAGGTATATTGTCAACATGATAAAGTCCATAATAAATTGACTTTAAGCATTGGAGATTATTCTAGATAATCCAGAGGAGGCTGATTCTATCATTTGCAACATTCTGTCATCTGAACAGCAGAACTGAGGTTCCTTCAGAAAGGAGAAATCCCCCTGGTGGGAAACAGCTTTAGTTCATGCCTGAGAGTTCTAGGCTACCCTTCCCGAAATTCAGAATTCAGCCCTATGAATTTCAGATTTACCTTGCCAACCCCCACAATTGCATAAGCCAGTTCCATGTAATAAATCTCTCTCTCTCTCTCTCTCTCTCTCTCTCTCTCTCTCTCTCTCTCTCTCTATATATATATATATATATATATATATATATATATATATATTCAACAGGCTTCGTTTCTCTGGTTGTATCTTTACTTATACAGCCAATACATTTTTTCTGACAAGAAGGAAAATTTTGCCTAAAGATGGTTTCTAACCAAATTAATCACCTGGGAAACTTCCTGCTATTCTCAGATTGTTGTTGTTGTTGTTGTTTCAATTTTTTTTTGTTAGCCCTTACCCAAGGATATATATTTTTTTCCCCATTTATTTTTAGAGAGAGTGGGAGGGAGGAGGAGAGACAGAAAGAGAAACATCTTTGTGAAAGAGAAACATCTATTGGTTGCCTCCCACATGCATCCTACCAGGGCCGGGAATAGAGTCTGCAACCAAGGTATATGCCCTTGACCAGAATTAAACCTGCAACCTTTCAGTCTGCAGGCCGATGCTCTAACCACTGAGAAAAACTGGCAAAGGCTATTCTCAGTTTTGACAATTTATCTATCACTTTCTGCTGGTTCACTGGTACAGGAAAACCTTTACCTATCCATTCCCTTTTTTAAAGATTTCTATTCAGCTATAGGTGATTTCATCTTTCCTTCTTGAATGCCACTCCTCTGATTATGAATAAAATGACATACTTATAATTGAAGTACAATATTAAATATGTAACATAATTATAAAATCAAATTATGTACAGCTTTTAATCTTCAATTTTTAAAATTTGAGTTGTGGACAACATTGTTGCACTCTTTTCTCTATGTTTCTGTATGTTTTAAACATTTAAGAGTAAAATATTTTAAGTACTAAGGTAAAAGACATAAAAATAAAACCCATCAATGGACACAGATAGTAGGGGGGTGAGGGCATGTGCTGGGGGGGTGGCAGTGGCTGGGGAGAGGTCAATGGAGGAAAAAGGAGACATATATAATATTTTAAACAATAAAGAATTTAAAAATAAAAATAAAACCCATAACAATAAAAGGAGAGATAAAATGCATGGTTATAGAAACAATAAGATAAATATCTCAGAATTTCAACTTATCAACTAAAATAGAAGATAGCAGGACACAAACTATCTAATAGCTATATATAAAAATAAAAATCAGATGGTTTAGACCAGATAAAGATTGTCAGGTTATAATATAGATGATAGCTGACGTTATAGTTTTATATGACCCCAGACAGCTTAACTAAAATTAAAAAGCATTTTAATAGTAAAAACTAATCTTGTAAAATAGTAATAATTGTTCATTAGTGATTAGTAAAGGTTTCAAAGTATATATCTAATAACACTGCTAATTTTTACAGAAAGACTAGAAAAGTCTAGCATTGGGATAAGAAATTACATGATTCGCCAAAACCGGTTTGGCTCAGTGGATAGAGCGTCAGCCTGTGGACTGAACAGTCCCAGGTTCGATTCCAGTCAAGGGCATGTACCTGGGTTGCAGGCACATCCCCAGTAGGAGATGTGCAGGAGGCAGCTGATTGATGTTTCTCTCTCATCGATGTTTCTAACTCTCTATCTCTCTCCCTTTCTCTCTGTAAAAAATCAATAAAAAATATATTTTAAAAAAAAGTAAAAAAAAAAGAAATTACATGATTCAAGGTAAAGCATTTTTTTGTTGTTGTTGTTTTGTTTTGTTTTTAGCCTTAGGCATTATCTTTATTCACTTGTACAAATATTACAATTTCCCTTTGTTGAAAAAGTGTATAAAAATAATCTTTATATAGGAATCCCAAGGTAAAGCATTTGTATTATTTTTACCTATGTGAGGGTCATAACCCAAACACTACTTTTTGATTAAAGAAAAATGCTACATATCATTAAAAACATATAGTGTTTAGGCTAAAAGTAGTGATGGCCAGGAGAATATAATAAGTTTAGGTAAATTGGAAACTACCAGTTTGTAAATTATCTTAATCTATACAAAGCCAAATTAAAACAATCTTATCTGCACATACAAAAACAATACAAAATGGAAAGACCATGTAGTTACAAGGTAAATAAAGTCAAAACAAAGGAAATATTGGTATATAAATCAATAACCCAATTAAACCTTATGAAATGTGGTTTCCAAAGTATTGGGGTAAATGAGTATATCTGTCATCTTTAAATTCTTGATAGAACATATTTCTTTAATTGACTCATCCAAAAGGAAAACTAAAGGAAAGTGTATACTACTTCTTAGAATATTGCATCACCTTTCCAAAAATAAAAATAAAAACAAGTGAAAAGGGGGATCTTCTGGGAAACCCGGGAAAATCCTGTACATCTAGACTAAGTACAATCCAAGAAAAAGTATTTGGTCTCATACCAATGTCAATGCTTTCCTTACCTGAAAAGGAGTGGGCTTTGACAAATTGTCACTAGCTTTGCTTAGGGTCTAGCCTCTGAGTATTACATCCAAAATATCATATACGTAGAAATCTCAACAAAGGAAGAGAACTAAAGCCATGACAAATTTTGCATAAAGAATACTGCAAAGTGCCTGGCTGGTGTGGTTCAGTGGTTGAGCATTGACCTATGAACCAGAAGGTCATAGTTTTATTCCAGTCATGTCACATGCCTGAGTTGCTGGTTTGATTCCTAGTAGGAGGCGTGCAGGAGGCAGCCAATCAATGATTCTTTCTCATCCCTCTCCCTTCCTCTCTGAAATCAATTTAAAAAAATATTAAGAAGACTGCAAAGAAGTTCGTCCCTCATATTTTCCTATATTTAAAAAAGTAATTAAAATGAGATATCAGAAAAGTCAATTGATTATAAAGAAACCAGTCCCCTAACACTCTTGGAAGCAATAAACAGGTCATAGCCATAAAATTAAGTATGTGTCTCCCAACTAAGACAGAGAAGACTTTTAAAACAAAATAAATCAAAATGGGAAAATATTACAAATAGGATTCTAAAATCTAGTTAGATAATAACTGATTACTTAATAAAATCTCATAAAAATAAATTATTTTATAACTCTTTTACTAATATATATATTTTGGAGTTCTGATTATTTCACTCACTGTGTTATAAAAGAAAGCACTAATTAAGGCCTGACAGAAAAGGGGATTGCCCTAAATTATTGTACTATATCACTATTTTTGTAATTGCTGACTTTCACCCATTGAAGGTGTTCTTTGAGATTAAGTCAAACAGTGAAAAGAGGAGGAATGTCTGAGTCTCTTCAGCAAAGATAATCTCTCAAGAAAAGGCCTTGACCATAGTTGCCATGGTTTTCCTGATGGCATCTTTGACCTCCTTGTTCCTCAGGCAGTAGATGATAGGGTTGAGCATGGGAGTGAAGACTGTATATATGGCTGAGATCAATTTGTTAGAATTGAATGAAGCAATGGCCCGAGGTCTAACATACACGAAGATCACAGCTGTGTAGAAGATGACCACCACTGTAAGGTGAGAGGCACAGGTGGAGAAGGCCTTTCGCTGTCCATTGGCTGAGGGAATGTGCAGGATGGTAGATAAAATGAAGGCATAAGAAATGACAGTGGCTGAGAGAGGAAACACAAGGATGACTATAGCTAGCACAAAGTCTACCATCTCAGCCATAGAAAAGTCCACACAGGCCAGATTGAGGATGGGGGACACATCACAGAAAAAATGGTTCAAGATATTATTATCACAAAAGGCAACTTGGGAGATGAAGTATACCTTTACCATGGAAATGGTGAAGCCACTCACCCAAGAACTTATGATTAGTTGAACACAAAATCCTGTGGTCATCAGGACTGGATATTGAAGAGGCCAACGTATGGCCACAAAACGGTCATAGGCCATGGTAGCCAACAGCACACATTCAGTAGAAGCAAGTGAGATGAATAAATAGAGCTGGGTCATGCATCCCAGAAAGGATATGGTATTGGGACAAAGTAGGAATCCAGCCAGCATCTTGGGGACTGTGACAGATATATACCAGGTCTCCAGAAAGGACATAGTACCCAGAAAATAGTACATGGGCTTGTGCAGAGACCCAGTGACCCATACAGTGATGATGATGACGAAATTCTCCAACAGCACAAACAAGTAGGTGATGAGGAAGAGGAAGAAGAGCAGAACTTGAACCCAAAGTGAAGTAGGGAAACCCAGCAGGATGAACTCACTAATATAAGTGATGTTTTTCTTCCACATGGTTACGACACCAAAAGACAAAGTAGTTAATGATACTAGCACCAAATTGAAGAGTGAGATCAACATTAGCAGAAAGGAGTCGTTAGGCTACAGGTCTTTTATTTTTAAACTTAACCCTAGTGCCATAATCTGGTCCTCTGGTATGGCTCTGGGATCACAAGAGGCCACAAGATCCTCTCCAAAAATCAGCTGTCAGAACAGGAACTGAAAACAAACCCACCATAGACACAAAGTTAAGAATGACTGTGTTGTACACTTGAAACTAATATATTTTACTAGAGGCCGGTGCACAAAATTTGTGCATGGGGGAGGGTCCCTCTGCCCAGCCTGCACCATCTCCAGTCCAGGACCCCTCGGGGTATGTCCAACTGCTGGTTTAGGCCCTAGAGGGATAAGGCCTAAACCAACAGTCAGACATCCCTCTCTCAATTTGGGACTGCTGCCTCCTAACCGCTCACCTGCCTGCCTGCCTAATCACCCCTAACCGTGTCTGCCAGTTGGCATGATGCCCGTAACTGCTACCCTGCTGGCCTGGTTGCCCCTAACCACCTCTGCTTGCTGGCCTGATTGCCCCTAACCGCCTCTGCCTGCTGGCGTGATTGCCCCTAACTGCCCTCCCCTGCCAGCCTGATTGCCCCTAACTGCCCTCCCCTCCTGGCCTGATCACCCCCTACTACTCTCCCCTGCTGGCCTGATCACCCCTAACCACCTCTGTCTCGGCCCCTGACACTGTGGCTTTGTCTGGAAGACATCCAGTCTAATTAGCATATTCCCTTTTATTAGTATAGATTTTATTATATAGATGTCACTTGTAATTAAAAAATAAATTTTAAAAAAGAATCTCAAAACAGAATCATGATGTCAGATTCAGGGTTCAGGCCTTCAGATCTAGGTCAGAAAGGGGTCTTCAGTTGAACTAGCAGTAAATACTTTCCTTACCAGCATATGTCAAGATTTCAGGGGCAGCTATAAGGCAGGAGATTGTGATGACTGGAATAAATGTCAAGGATGTTCCAGGAAGCAGGGCAGGGAAGCAAGGAAGTTGAAAATCTGGAGAAAATAAAAACAGAACATTAACTGGAAGAGACCCTCCTGGCCAGGAGAATTGCCAACTTTGGCCTATTCCTCCACTATGCTGTAAGCCTTTTGAAATCTTTGGAAGAATATAGCAAAGGTGGTTAACAATTCTCTGCCTATTTTCAGGGCCACAGTTTAAAAAATTGAATAAAGAAATGTCTGCCCTTTTAGAATAATAAACACATTTTAACTTTTCAGATGGCTCCTAATAATGCTAATAATATATTTATACCTAAGTATCTATAACTAATATAAATAATATTATAGATATATATACTATGTATGTAAAATAGTTATTTGTGTCTATTTAATAGCCATATATATATATATATATATATATATATATATATATATATACAGGGTAGGGCAAAGTAGGTTTATAGTTATGAGTACATAAAACAGAATTTATTCTTGAATATTATTTATTAATATTGTATTATTTTCCATATGAACAATTGTAAACCCACTTTTGCCCCACCCTGTGTATATACTATATATACATATAGAAGTCCTTATTTGATCCTAAATTAATTTGTGCATTCATCTATATTCTCTTCAAAGATATTCTACTGCAAAAAAAAGAAGTGTTACTTGATTACTTCTACCTACTCCTTGACTTTGAAACTCCTCCTCATTATGGACACTGCTTGAAGACAAGTTACATTAAGAATCTAAGGGTCCTGGGCTTCCCAGGGCACAATGTGAACCTAAGAAGAGAATTGAAATTAAAAGAAACTTTCTTCACCCTAACCGGTTTGGCTCAGTGGATAGAGCATCAGCCTGCGGATTCAACAGTCCCGGGTTCGATTTCAGTCAAGGGCATGTACCTTGGTTGCAAGCACATCCCCAGTGGAGGGTGTGCAGGAGGCAGCTGATCGATGTTTCTCTCTCATTGATGTTTCTAACTCTCTATCCCTCTCCCTTCCTCTCTGTAAAAAAATCAATAAAATATATTTTAAAAAAAAAAAGAAACTTTCTTCACAAGTGGGGATAGAAGACAAAGAAAAGTGGGGATAAAAGTTGGCTTGAGATTATAAATAAAATTAATCTAAAAAAGAGAAACATTCTTTTCAAGGAGACCAAGACAGATGACCTGGAAAAAAGAAATGCAGAATCCAGGAACAGTGAAGAAGAATAAGATGTGGACTTTCTTCAATGTTTAGTTATTATTTCTGATTTATACATATATTATGGCCTAAACTCCCAGATCTACAATATGGTAGTTGGTTATATGTGCTGGAAAAATAGCCACAGTGACATAGAACTCAAAGTTGACTTCTTTCTCTACTAAATAGAATTATCTTTTAATTAATTTTAACATCTCTCTTAGGTCATTTTTGCCCAAGAGGTGTATGGAAGCACATAGCCTAAATCTGAACCATTACAGAACAAGTTTGTGAAGGAATTTTTAAGAATGTACTATCTCCTTTACATCTTATTTCTCAGGAAATTCCTCTATCAGAAATCCCATCTCTTTCTGTATATTAAACTCATTCTTTTCATAAATATTCATTGAGCACTTACTATGTGACAGACACTATTCTAGATGCTTGAAATAGCTCATTGAACAAAGCAGACAAAAACAGTCCAAAAGTCCCAATCTTAAGATATTACATCCCAATGGAGAGATACGAGTAAATACAATCCTTCTCAAGACTTTGAATAAATACAGTAAAGATATAGATGTAGGAATTGGTGAGTTCTTTGGAGAAAATAGAGTAAGTTAAGGAAAATGAGGGCATGGAGTAGTGGCTGGTTCATATTTTAAATAGCTGATAGGGACAAACCTCATTGAGAGGAGTCATTAAGAAGGCATTAGCCAACTGGCTATTGAGGGGAAGAGCTTTCCAGACAAAGGGAAAAGGTAGTTCAAAGACCCTAAGTTGAGGCACAGCATGAGGAACAGCAAGTTCAGTCTGGTTGGAGCAGGGTAAGTGGAAGGGAGAAATGAACCCAGAGAAGGAAGCGGTGGGAGAGAGGATGGTGAGCAGATCACCATGTCCTTTTAAGCAGCTGTATTCATGTTGGCTTTTTAAGAATTCCCCTAGCAGATTCTTTTCAGTCATTTTCTTCCAAAGATGGTCAATCAATTTATCACTTTTCCTGAAAATATTCTTTTACCATGTATCTGCTTTAGAACACGGTACAATCGATCAACCACTTTCTTTCCTTACCTTTGACAGCTTACTTTCTACTGCTGCTACCTTTCTGGTAATACCCAGGTCTTTCTCATCTTTAAAATGTTTTAGTTTGCCACTCCCTGACCCCTCCCTCACACCAGCCCCTGTACCTTTAACCCTAGCAAGAAAACACCACAACAAACAGACATTGGAACTATCTAGTAAAGGAGACTGAGAAGGGAACAGAGAATTAGAATATAATGTAATAAGCATTGCAATGGAATATTGAGTACCGGAAGCCGAGAGTAAAGAATAATTCTTTCTGTCAGAGTAGCCCAGAATCCTTTCACCAAGGAGGTGCCATTTGAACTGAAATGAAGCATTTCAAGTTTTAGAAGGGGAGAAATAATCAAGAAGAGAAAATAGCAAATGCACAGGCATAGAGTAAAGCGATAAAAGCTAATGATGGAATAAATGATTTGCATTTTGATTAGAAAGAATGGATGGTGTGAATGGATTGAGACAAGGCTGAAGGATGTTATATAATTAGCCCTCTTCCCACTTTTTCCTAATTCTCCCCATTCCAACACAATGAGTCCTGCAATATCTGACAGTGTCTCTTATCACACTGACCACACATGGAAAACAAGGTTATCTAATTTACCTGAGCTTCCTTTTAGATTTTTAAGATTCATACTTTCTTCTTGAAACTTTGAGTAAGTTGTTAGTACTTTGTAACTGAGGGCCACTTAGGACTACTGTCCTGCACTTTCTCCCTTTTGAGCACTCACCCAGTTTTCCTGCATAGCTTTCATCAGCTTTGCTCCTCATCTCTGCCTTTGTCTATAATCTGTTCAATAATAAAATATTCATCATTTACTGGGTACCTAACATATGTCAGAATTTGTACTGGGTTCTTTCCATACTTTATCTCACTTAATTCTCACAATAACCAAATAAAATAGATATTATTGGTCCCATATTACAGATAATAAGGTAAATAATTTGGCTATACTTATACAAGTAAAAATTGGCAGAGATGGTATTATAACCTAAGACTGTCAGTCTCTACTATGCTATAATCCTCCGTGTTTAAGGATTGCTTTCCTCCTCTCTCTCTGCTCACTGCCACTGTGAATTCATAGTCTGCTCTTTCCGTTTCTTTAGTGTTGCCTTCTCTCCTGATCCCTGGCTCTCATCCTCATACTGAAGTCAATTTTTCTTTTAATTCCAGTCTTTTATGTCCAAATTCCTCACTTCTGAATTTAGCCTTTACACCCCATCTGAGCCTTTGTGATTAGTCTAAAGTTCCAAAACCTGATTTGTTTAGTTTTCCACAAGCAACTTGCTTCCCAAGTCTATAGTCAAGACTTCCTGCTATTTGTGATGCTTCTTACCCTAACCCCTATCTGTGTCTAAAGTCTGAATTTACATGACCTCCCCCACTGTACATTGACCTCTGATCCAGCCACTGACCTGGTGTGTGCCACCCAGTTGCTGCCCATGTCACTACCCTGAAGGTCTTTATCATGATGAGCCTGTTGGCTCAGCCAGAGGAGGGGCTCACCTGCTGAACTGATGTGTATTCCCTGGAAGATGCTACAGGAAGGAGATAGGTTTTATCATGAAGGAAGAGGAAGTTTCAAGAGAACAAAGAGAGTAGTGCAAATAATGGGAGCGATTTTGTGTAATTAGGGTGGAAAACACAAAGGAAAATAAAAAGTTCAAGTCTCAGTAAAGATAGAGTAAGCATGCACTGCAAGAGGCTGGGACCTGTGTAGAGACTGGCAAAAGGCCTGCTGT